TGTTCATTTTAAATGTTCATTTGTGTGTGTGTGTGTGATTTGTCTACAGCTTTTATTAGACAAGTTGTAAAACCACGTGTAATTGCATAGCATGAATAGGCCAGATAGACTAGGACGGCTTTCCAGGAGCTGTTTTTATTCCTGCACATATCAGGGCTTTAAAAACAGCACTGGCAATTTAAGGGGTGTCATTGTTTTGAGTCTTTCTTGGGGATGTGGATTTTTCAAAGACCCTCGTTATATTTCTGAGATGGCCTTTTCTTTTTTCTGGGCCACCAGTAGGAACTAGAGGATGAAAATCGACACAGGCTGAAATCCAGCCTGACCCTGCGAGCTTCAGCAAGGCTCCAGGACCTTCCCTTGAACTCAGAGTGGTTCATGCTCCTTTCCTCCCGTATCAGATCGTTACCTGTATTATACTCTAGTCCACTCTTGTTTTCGTGATCCCAAGCAATGGCTCTTGTTTCCCCTTCTCAGAGATTCTATTCAGAAACTTTAGCCTTCTATACAGCTGCCTTTTTTCCCACCGCTTTCTCATTTCTCTTCACCATTTACTGTTCTTTAGTCTCTGTGCCACGTGTGTTTACCACTGAGGACTGTTCATTAGCTCCCCTTGAGAAAAGCACAATTACCAAGGCAAGAAGTCAGCATCAAGGCAGTTGAAGATGATGGGCGAGTTCAGCTCCAGATTCAGACACCTAAACAAAGTGATGGGGGTGTCCAAGCTTCCCTTGTATTCAGTAGAGTTGTAGGCAATACAGCCACAGGGTCTGAACAATCACCTTCGTACAGCTCTGGCTGCACTGGCCGTAATGACTAAGGAAACAATTTGATTGACTTTTGCTGAGTGACATTTGAGATGTCTTGAGTACCCTACCTCACTCCAGCTCCTAGCTCAAAAAATGTTCATGTCTTCTGTATGCAAGTTTGTCACATCTGCCAGCTCCACATGGAGGTCTGGGATATCCTAGAGCATCTCAGATGTTATCAGAGGATTCTTATCTGTGACGGTTGCACTAAGTCTTAATTCTCCATTGAGTAAAATAAGAGACTTAACTCACCCATGGACACCTCTAGGTGAATCTCTACAGTCGGAAGATGCACTGTGACGTGAAGGAGATCTATTCCCTGCTGTAGCATGGAATTTATATGAGACCTTGGATAAATCCTTCAAATCTTAGCACTTCTTCTGTTAAATGGGGACATGATAGAGCTCTGCTTCACTGTGCTGAATGTAGGTTAGGAGATGTCTCACTATAAGGACTTCAGGACACATTATTAAAAGGACCAGGGGAAATAACTCTTGTGATGTGTCATTCAAGACACATGGACTTGACTCCTCAATGGTGCTGACTATGGCCTGTGAGTCACTCATTGCTTCCTAGCAGGTGACAGGTAGAGTTCAAGGGCTGTTGTACTGCCTGGTGCAGAGAGTCTGAAGATAACCCCAGTCTATGCCACTCTGACTCGTTATATGTAGGCACAGTACAGATTGCATAGATGCAGCCATAGGGCTTTCAGCCCCGTGGTTCATGATGTCCTGCTCACTCAAGAGTGCCCACACAGAGGTGGCAGTGCATATTTTCCACTCTGAAGACTAATCACAGAGTGGGAGGAGTGGGAGTGGGTTTTTTGAAGTGACTTCAGTTTTACACGAGCCCCAACCCTATGATAAACAAACCTTGGAAGGGAGTTGAAACCTACTCATGCTAGATGAAGGTGCGTCAGTCACCATGTGCAAAAGTCAAAATCAAAATTAAAAAATACTTCCCATGTGATCCAACTTGCCAAGACTTTTTGTTCTAGTTATAGTTGGAAAGATCTCTATAGTTGCTTAGAAATAAGGCCTGAAGTGGAAAAGAAAGTTTATGCCACAGTCTGTGAGAACTGTACATTTTATGAAGACGTGACAGGCTAGAAGTATCAGGGAAAGATGGGAATGAGAAACTCATGGTCAAGATGACATGCTTTGTTATCTAAGTCTGTATGAAATAGCCAGGGAATAACTTCTGTGGCAACACAGTAAGAAGTACTGCAGAAATTTTCGTATTGCTCCATAGTTCCTGTTGACATCCACCTACTGGTCACACCCCCCCAACACCCAGGTTCAGATCCGGCTCATCACTAAGATGCCAAAATTTGCATTTGCTGCAGAGCTGTGAAAATCTTAGTGCAACTGAGGAGGCAACGAACTGTTTTGTAAGGGTAGGACTCATCCTGCCTACTTCTGGTGTTCTCAAGTCCCTGCACTCCTCTGTCAAGGGACGGAGAGAAACTCTTTGGGAGCATGAGTCAACCACCCCCTGTCCCACACATGGATCTTAGGACAGGTTGAATCACTTTCTGGGGGTGTCTGTCTCTCTCTGTTGACTCAAGGAGATGTTCAGATGACTATCAGCAGGCATGGTACTGTGCAATAGGAGTGACTCAACACACAGTCTCAGTCAGCTCTGAGCAATTTACAGCAAAGACTGTGATTAGTGTAGGTTTCTGCACTGAAAACGTTACAGTGGGAAAAGCCTTTATTTGTATGCTCTGTTTTTGTTTCTGGTGTATTTTATTCCTCTCTCTATTCTAGAATAAATGAACCCAACAGAAACATTTTTAAGCCAGTGTGACACATCTGTCTCTCGTGGGTTGGCACTGCTTGACTTTCAGTATACAGGTACATCTAATGCCATACAAGTTTCTAGTATAACAGCACTAAAATAAGCCTATACACAACATTTTTTTTCTGCTAATCACGGAAAGTTTTTAAACTGAATAGCTAGAAGATACTGCAACAAGCAGTACTTATACACATACCAGCACTTACCTTACGAATTGTGTGGCATTGCTCAGCCTTCCAAAACTGTTCATTATGTCTACCAAAAATGTAACACATCTGGTAGGGTGAAGTTAAATCTAACCTACACCTGTTCAGGGCGAAGGCTATTCACTTTCAGAAGTTTATATCCATTAGAGTCTGAGGTCCTATAAGCAAGTGTTTCTTATCAACATTTGAGGACTTAAACTTTTGGTAAAACTGTGGTTTGCTAACTATGGTGGCCTAAAGCTTTGATAAAGACACTGATCTTACTGGTTTGTGGTTTGTTGTTTTTTTTAAATTTGTTCTGAGATGGTAACGCATGTGTGAGCCCAAAGCCAAGGTATTCAGAGAGAGACTTGAGAGCTGGTGGAAAGGCGTAGATTTGGTGGACCTAGAGGCTGGGAGAATTTCATTGAGGGGCAGAGAGCAAGGTCTGCCATCCTTCCTGGACACCTCCTCCAGATATGGCTAGGCTGGAAAGGGGCAAATCCAACCCCACCACAAGAAAAGAAGATAAAGTCTCTAGAGTGAGGTCTGAAGAGCCAGTGGATCCTTCTGTCTCCGTGGGAGCCAGGTCCTTGTGGGCAGAGGGAGAAGAAAATAGGAGAAGAAGAAATTCAGGGTTTTCAGACATTTTATCTTTTTAACCCTGACCAGCTGCAACAAGCTGCTGCTTGTTTTTTTTTTAAAGTAGTAAAAGCAAAATAGAGCTGGACCTATTTTCCAGTGTGTCACACATCAGAGATGGAAGGGCTTTTGTTATTGTTTGTTTTGCTTGAAATCATTAGCATTTTCCTTTTAGATTTTATAGGTGATACTCCCAGAGAAATCTTTGGCAAAGGCCCAATGAAAGTCTAGCTACCAAATCATTCAGCTTCCCAAACATGGATATTAGTCCATCATCTGTTCCCTCACCTGCAGAGCAGTTGTCCAGTGAGCAGCAGTGGGAGCAAAGGAATGAGATGCCAGTGGCCTTTTTTTCCCCAGGAATCTGTCAATTAATTTTTATTATAATGCTTTGCTCAATGAGTTGTTCAACTTACCCTTGCAATAATCAATGGCATTGTATTTTTAAAAACTCCTGAAGTGTGAAGAAGCACTATTTTATCCATTGGAGCAGATAAATAGTTTCAGTGTTGGTTGCAATGGGGAATAAGATCAAGCCCCTTTGGAATATCATGGGGTTCCTGCCCCATGCCAGTGCGCAGGGGGATGATTTGGGAACTGAGGGTGACCGCAGGGCAGGCAATGCCCTCACCGATGGGAGCAGTTCTGCAGGGTCTGAGTGCACTGGGCAGAGCTGCATGCTGGTAACAGCTCCCTCCGCAGTCCCAGACAAGGCAAGGGGATGGACCAGATCTGAGGTCCCTCCAGGGGGTCCCACCAGGAGCAGAATGAGACAGGGCGGGAGATGGGGCTGGAGACCCAACTGCAGCTTGGATCTGTGGTCCATCCAGGAGACAAGGCTGGAGATAAGCTGCCTCCAATATAGGTCTTCAGTCCAATCTGGAAACAGGGCAGGGGAGAGGCTGGAGGGATGAGATCCTTTGTTTCGGGACCATTTGGAGGGTACTGATGAGTCTTGAAGTTCTCTGTATTTGTATATTCATCTGCATGGGACCACAGGGTGACCAAAAAAATGACCAACTGCCTATTTTTCACGAAGGCAAATGCAAATGGGAATTTCTCATTGAGGCAGAATCAAGTACAAGTCAATGTGAATGTTGCTTGTACGAAAGTATTTTAGAATAAAAAAGAGCCATGCAGGTACAAAGAATATAGATGTCCTGCTCTCGCTATGGTGCACTCCAGGAGAGACACCTTTCTACAGAAAGTAACCTTCATACTCGGGCTGCGGCATTTAGATGGGATCTGGATTTCAAATTCTCAAGCGTGGATCTAATCAGGATGAGAGGCTGATCCCTGTAAGAAGAGAAGAGGTGGGGTGGGTGGCAGAGCCAATGGCTCATGAAGATAAGCATAATGTGTCAGAGAACTCCTGAATACAGCATCGTTTCCAATTCCTACACTGATATTTCTGTATTTCTCTCCTTTAGACTGTAAGGACCACCTGACGTGAGTTGAACCTTTGGGCTGCTGAGCCTGCCCCAGATGCAATAATTTAGTGAGCAGATGATGTTTTCAACCAAACCTCCTGTCTAACTCAGTGGATCTGTGTGTCTTCCGGCAGGTGTGTCCTCTGTGGCCTCCCTGATGTCCCTGGCTTGGGTGCTAGCCTCCTATCACAAGCTTCTTCGGGACTCTAGGGACGACAAGAAGAGTATGAGCTACAGAGGGGCCCTCATCCATGTCTTCTGGCGCCTCTTCACCATCTCATCCCGAGTTATTTCTTTTGCTCTCTTTGCTTCCATCTTCCAGCTCTACTTTGGGATCTTTGTAGTGGTCCATTGGTGTGCCATGGCTTTCTGGATCATCCATGGTGGGACAGATTTCTGCATGTCTAAGTGGGAGGAGATCCTCTTCAACATGGTGGTAGGGATTGTGTACATTTTCTGCTGGTTTAATGTCAAGGAAGGGCGGACTCGATACAGAATGTTTGCGTATTACACGGTAGTCCTGACGGAGAACGCTGCCTTGACGCTCCTTTGGTATTTTTACAGAGATCCTGAAACTACTGACTCATATGCCGTGCCAGCACTGTGTTGTGTCTTTCTTAGCTTTGCTGCTGGGATAGCTTTGATGCTGTTATATTATGGTGTGCTGCATCCCATGGGGCCAAGAGCTAAGATCCTTGTCAGCTCCTGTTGCGCCGAGCTGCTCTGGGGCATTCCTTTGCCCCCCGATGTTGAGCCCATGGCACCCCAAACCCCTGGGTACCGGGGGGCCCAGGCTACGCCCACCAGAGCGGTCACGGAGCAACAGGAGGAACTCACAGCTGACACTTGCTTGCCCGTTTTCCAGGTGAGAGCAATGGTACCATCTACTCCATCTGGGCGACCCTACCCCCCCGAGGGGCCTCTCATTAAGATTGACATCCCAAGAAAAAGATATCCTGCATGGGATGCTCATTTTGTAGACAGGAGGTTAAGAAGAACTATCAACATCCTCCAGTATGTCACCCCCACAGCTGTAGGTATTAGGTATAGAGATGGACCTCTCTTATATGAGTTGCTACAATATGAATCTTCACTTTAAAAGCTCCTTAAAGCAAAAGTAAAAGAGGGGACCTTATTTTTGTTTACGGTAAACACAGATCATGAAACAAACACAAACCTTCAGATAAGCTTTCTTTCTGGTTGCTGTATGTATAAAAAAAAAGATATTCTCTATGTTTTGTAAGTAAAAACAAAAAGAAAAACTTTTCTTTTGTTTTTTACACACAAGAAACAGTATTTCAACTTCCACACCTAGGATTCACAGGTGGAGAAGGAGGCATCTCCACATCAGTTTTATACCGTACACCAAGTGTAGAACATTATTTATGGGATTGGTGCTGATTGAAAAATAAAAAAAACAAACAAACAAACCTACAACTGCCTTATGCCCTTAGGTGCTGAGTTTCATTAAGTACTGTCACCTTTCTCATGCAAAACTCTTTGATGATTATATGCCAGGAATAAAACAACCAACTGAAATACAAACCTTAAAATTCAAAAAAAAAAAAAAGAAAAAAAAGGAAAAAATTAACAACAACAACAAAAAGAGAGAAATGTATGAAAAAAAAAATTCTGTTGCTCTTATTGGATATAGCAGAAAAACCCCAAATGTCTAAAGATAAGAAAGCAAAGCCAAGACACCCCCAATGGAGTCTGATTTTTCCAACAGTTGAAAGACAAAATCAGGTCTGTAACTCAATCTGGCAATGCATTTACAACACCATTTGGCCAAGCCTGCGAGCCTTGACCAAGCCGTGTTATAAATGCGATCCCACCATGTATCCGTTTTCCTCGTGTAAACGGGCCACGCCTAATGGTCTGTTTGCACCAGGTTAATATGGCAATGCAGTATCTGATCTTGTTTCAAACAATTGCACACGCTCATGCGCCACTGTCTGCAGTGGAATAAATAACAACCGTCTGAGCCCAGAATAAGGCCTGCCACCTTGATTTCTGGAAAACAAAAAATCCACAAACATTGAATTTATATACCAAAAACATTATACTAAAGTACATTTACACATATCTAATAACTATTTCAGTAATAATAAAACTCAGCATAGTAGCAAAAAGCGAGTCAATTTAAAGGCACAATACTTGATCAGTGACTGGCAAAATAATTTGACCTACTGTATCATTTTAAGGCTGTGAAAGGCATACATGTACTATCTGTGATCTCGTGTAAGACCTGTCATGTCTCATTCAGTGCGAGCCTTAAAGTGATTGTAAAGCATCCTTTGTTCCATTTCGGGGGTTTGGGGTTTTGATTTTTTGTTTTGTTTTGTTTTGTTGTTTTGTTTTTAAGGAAAACAAAATGTGAAAATCGGGATAGAACAAACAAACAAACAAACAACAACAAAACAACCAACCAACTTCTTCAAACGGTAATAACCTGTAAACTGACTCACATCTCGAGATGATTTGGTGCTTTGTATTTTCGTTGATGTTGTTGTTGTGATTTAGCTGAGAATTCTTCAACTCGGTACACATGGGGAACTTGCTGATAAAAAACTGTCTCGTGTCACCCTCTACTGTAAGTACATGGCGAGAAACATCACCAGAGGAAACTCAAGAGCGTAGCGAGAGCATCGTGGTTTAGCTTAGCCTGCTCACCGCAAGGAGATGCTGCCACCTCCACTGATGGCAAAGCCTAGACAGTCACCTGCCGAGGGCTGTGTGGTTGTCTTGACATTTCCAAATAACCCGCTCGGTGTCTGAACATTCACATCTCTCGAATTCTGTTTCTGTGCTGGAATCTCTTGTTTCGAGTTCAATCACGGGTTTGCGTCTGTTCAAGACCCTCTTCCGTTGCGAGAGTATTGCTCCTTTAAAGGAATATTCCTGTTTCAGGGCATCTTTTCAATCCCACCATCCCTCTAGGGGAAAAACAACAACAGCAAAATGAGATATTTTTAAGTGAATGCTGTAGTATTTTATGTGTGTAATTGCAATTTTTTATTCCAGAAATACTGTAACTGTCTAGGGTGCAAAACTCCCATGCTGATCTATTCTGAAGAGAAGATCAGCATGGGGGGGGATATTTTTTAATTATGATTTTTTTTTTAATTTGAGGAATCAGTTGGTTTTTTTAATTATGACACTATTTAAAGAAACTAGTACCAATTTTATATAACAGTTTAAAGAAGCTGATTGCTTTCTTCGCCTGAATATACCTGAAAAGAAACATTGTTTTCACTCAGTGATCCTTTGCAGTGTTCTGAGAAAATGTTGGGGTTTCTTCAGTTTTTTCATTTTTGTTTTGTAAAGAAAACTTTTAACTGGTGTCTGTCCCTTTCAAGGAGGGCAGGACTCATTCACGCCAAACTATAGACACACGGCAAAGTTTATAAGAAGCCAAATTGTCACTGGTACTGTAATTCCCAGTCAAACTCCATTTCAGGCAAATATTTCTGGGCTCTGATTACAACGAATATATTGGTCACATTTTCTTGCAATGGGAGGGATTCTGTCTTGTCATCCCCTATCTAAATACCCAGTCCCTTGTTTACTGTGCACATAAATACATATATATACACACATACAGAGTTATATGTATTTGTGAAAAGCTTTCATTTCCCTTCTCCATTGTCTGTGTCCCATAGCCAGTCCATTCCCAAGTGTCCTACTAACATTTCACCCTGTTTCTTCCCTAATCAGTATGCTGTCTCCATAAAAAGAGGTAATTTGTGAAGTGAACTTGCTGTCCCCAGCTACTGAGTCACAAAAACACGGAGGTGCCAATCCTCCAGCAACAGACCTGCATTGCTCATCCCAGGACTTTCTTTTGACTTAGCTTCAAGACTAGTGTAGGTTTACTCCCAGTTTCCTGAGACTCGTGCCCTGTGTAAAGACTCTCCTTGGTCCTTCCATGAAGAGATCTCCTCTACACATCTGCATTTCATTGGCATAAGCATGGGAAAGGAATGGATGACAAACAACCCTGCTGTTCCTCCAGGACCTTTCCTCCAGGAGATAGCATCCTCATTTTCAAAAGTACCGTAAGAAGGTTCCACTCCCCGAACTTGTCAACCTTGAGAACTGGTTTGGAGATGTGATCACACTCCCTGGTCCCACTGACCAGCCAGACCCTGCCGCTTCACACCGGGACAGTGAAATGAGTCAACGAGCCTAGGCACACTCATCAGGAGTCGAGAAGGAGACACTTCAGTGTTGCCTCTCATGAGCATCTGCAGCCTGCCTTCCCTCAGGAATGGGACCCTTGCTCAAGACCACCACACCAACAGCCGTCCTCTCCATCCCATTATGGGAGTGGAGGGGCAAAATACTCTAGAAGTGACCTTACCTCTCAATGCAGTGCTAATATTTCACAGTCAAACCAGCTTGACTAAGGGCTTGACACACCCCTGCTCCAAAGTCCTCCTTCTTCGCGGCTCGTAGGATGGATAACAACGAAGGCAGGTGCCTCCACTGTGTGTTAAGACTGTTTCATTACGCTTATTTGCATAAAATTTCTGCTGCCGCTATTAGTCCTTTCTTTGAGTGATATCCACTGGCATCTTGATTTAGCAACAGATTTCCAGTGAGAGCCTGTGTCAACCCTGAAAAACTATTTCTCTTTGAAGGACTTCATTACAGCCTTAACGTAAAGCACGTGCTCTGCCACTACGCCCAACGAGTTCATGGTGGACAGTTCGGTGTGGTGAGCATTTCCTCTTGGGATTGCCTGTGATCTTGTTGCCAAACAGCGCCTTTTGCCAAGCTAAAAGCTCGGGGATTAAAGTTACCCCCAGCTCTTTATTGGTACTAATCCCAGTGCTAAGAGTCTAGTCCTCGGCTCCTGTTTTTTTTGCCCAGAGTTTCTTTGACTTTTGGTGTGCACTTTGGCAGGAGGATGTTCAGTGACTTGTTTTGGTTTCGCTTGGTTTTTAACTCCTCACCTTCTCCCTTGTAGCTTAGTTATACCATGTCCCACCTTCTTGCCAGAAGACACTGCATGAGAGGGTTTTCAAACTGTCGTGGAGAAGGTTGAATCCATGTTTATTCACTTCACAGGATCAGTGGTCAATCTCTCTGGCAGATCTGTGCTGCTGGATTCACCCTGGGATCATCTAAACCAGCCAACTATGCCATGCCAGGGCAAAGCCGGGGCACGAGGGCTCCACCACCCCTGCTGTTATATTGTTCAAGCCTTCCCTGGCATGGTTTTGAACCACTCCAACGAGCCCTGGGCTCAGGAAGAGCTTGCACAGGCATCGACGCTGGCCAGAGACCATCCCCAGTCAGCAGTTTGGGTGCAGGTACTCTGTATCAGGGGTGAAAGAGTTTGGTCATGTGGATGTGGCCAGCACTTGTCAGTTGGCTTTGTGACCAGAATGGATCCTGGCAGTGCTGAATTTACTAATAAAGATGTAGCTATATGCCACGAACCAGGATTCAGGACTTGGTGGAGTACATCAGCTTCAATCTGGCATTTTTCTACTTTCTGCCCGATTCAATGGACAAGGTATTTTTCAGTTCACCTTGTTCTTTTTGCTGAGGTTATTTTGCAAACAGCATCACTTTTATCATGCTGATGTCAACTCATCTCTCCATCCCTCCATCCATGTCAGATGGCTGGCATGCTTAGTGTGATAGCGTTATACATCTGTAGGCAGCTAATTTAGAGACGGCAATGATTCAGACCAGACCAAATCAACAATGGAAATACAGGAATTACCAGGTCCCCGTCCATGCCCTTGTCACGCTTTGCCACCCACATAAGTCATTTTTCATCCACAGCATATCCAACCTGAACTGCAGAAGATGAGCCAGTGTTGCAAAATTACCAGTGGCAAGTGCAAGCGAGCCACCAATTTCAAGTGTAAATATCTATATTTTGGATTGGAGCTGATTGTCTGCTTCACCCTGTCCTTCTCCGCACCTGCCAAAAGTCAGCAGTCTTTTGCATGTATTTTTATTTGTAGCTGACTAGATGAAACAGGACAAAATTAATTTCAAGCTTTGGTCAGTGGTCTGCTAAAACCTGGCTGATGCCACTCACAAGGGGAGCATTGCTGTTGACTTTCAGGGAGCAATCACCCCTCAGTTTTCAGATACGTTTTTGTGCACACAAGATTCACTTCACAATTTATCCCTGCTCCTCGTCCCTACACAGAAACGCATGACACACCTGTCACCCACGTACCTGCGGCATGACTAAACCTCCTGAAGAAAATGCGGTCTGAGGTCCATCCAGCATGATTTCATTGAAGCTCAGAGGTGCTTTGAAAAGGAAAACTTACTACTGTGCATTTGCAAAACCTTTTAGTGCCTGCTTACTGGGCAGCTTGGGCAAGAGACAAACCGGAGTCAGCGGAAAATTGTGGAGACAGGCTTTTCTA